AGGTCTCTGAGATTGTCTTCAATTCTTTTCATTCTTTTTTCTTTATTTCTGCTCCTCGGCAGTTATTCCACCATTTTGTCTTCCAGCTCACTTATTCATTCTTCTGCCTCAGTTATTCTGTTATTGATTCCTTCTAGTGTATTTTTATTTTTCATTTCAGTTATTGTGTTGTTCATCTCTGTTTGTTCTTTAGTTCTTCTAGATCTTTGTTAAGGATTTCTTGTATTTTCTCAATCCATGCCTCCATTCTATTTCCGAGATTCTGGATTATCTTTACTATCATTACTCTGAATTCTTTTTCAGGTAGATCGCCTATTTCCTCTTCATTTATTTGGCTTTGTAGGTTTTTACCTTGCTCCTTCATCTGTGACATATTTTTTTGCTGTCTCTCTCTCTCTTTCTCTCTCTTTTTTTTTAATGAATGGGATTGTGTTCCTGTCTTACTGGTTGTTTGGCCTGAGGCTTCCAACACTGGAGTTTGTAGGCTGTTGGGTAGAGCTGGGTCTTGGTGCTGAGATGAGGAACTCTGTGATATCTCACTCTGATGAATATTCCCTAGGGTCTGAGGTTCTCTGTTAGTCCAGTGGTTCAGACTCGGAGCTCCCACTGCAGGAGCTTCAGCCTGACCCTGGGCTCATGAACCAAGATCCCACAAGCTGCATGGGGTGGCAAAAAAAAAAAGAACAATAAGAAAGTAAAAAGTAAAATTAGACTAGGAAACTAACATATGTTAGAAAGAATAGAAAAATAAAAATATAGATGAATCAACCAACTGAAAGGTATGTCATTATCACAATATCAAAAAAGAGGAGGAGGGAAAAGAAAAAAAAAAAGGAGGGGGAAAGGCCTTGGCTGTGGAGAGTGGGACCTAAGCAAGGGCGAGGTTTGGGTGGTGGGTGGGGCCTATGCTCAGGACCCACAGGGCAGGAAAAGGCCCTGGGGACTGTGGGGGGTGGGGCTTGGGCTCAAGGAACAGAAGGGGCCCAGGCGTGCCCCCCACCCCTGGTCTCAGGGGGCGGGGGACCTCACCTGGCAGCCCAGCAGGCTTCCTGAGCTCTAGTGGCGGGGCAAATGCCCTCCTCTCCTCTCCCGCTCCTCTGGTCTCAGAGGGCCCCTCCCGCCTGCCTCTCCTGATCTCCCTGGCCTCCCTCTTATGCCCCCAAGGACCCACGTGGCCTGGAGGGGGCTTTGGAGGGCAGGGGATCAGCGTGGGACCTCAGCGGGCTCCTTAAGCCCGAGGGGGCAGGGCAGTCGCCCTCTGCTCCTCCTGGAGAGTCCCTCCCACCTGCCTCTCCTGATCTCCCCAGCCTCAGGGGCGCCTATCCTCTCTGGCCTCCACTTCTCCTCCCCACCTCAGTCCCCCTACATCCTACCGGTTCACTGTGGGGTTCCTCCCATCTCCTTGAGTGTCAGAGTCCCCCACCAGCGGCCGGCAGGAACCCTAGTTGTGGGGAGAAGCCAACTCCTCGTCTTCCCACAATGCCATCTTGACTCTCCCTCCTGCACTATTGTTTCTGACTGCTCCTCCCTTGTCTCTGCATCCCCTCTCTACCCTGATTAGCAACCGTTTGAACCTGCCCTTTGGAACTCAGGGAAGGTCATGGAGGCTGAACAGAACGGCTCCCGTGCCCAGGAGCCCCACAGGGTCCTGCTTGTTTCAATAGCATGTAGTCAGAAATGCTCGAATCCTTCTCCCTGAGATTCCTCACTAAGATTTATCCGTGGAGGAAAGTGCAAAGCCAGCAAAGAGCAACTTTATTGTTAGTTGGGGTTTTGCTTCAAATCTCGAAGTAGAGCTCATGAGGCCCTTGGGGACTCCTTTCTTCTATATTAGGTAGGCCTAAGGACATTTAAAACATACTCAAAACTAATTCTTGGCTCCTATAGGTTAACATAGGAAATACAATAATAGGAGATACAAAACCAAGAGGAGAGAGAGAACTTGTCCTAGGGCTTGGAGTGGAGCTGGTCCAGACCATTCATGCCCAACCCTCTTAGGGTGAGGCCACGGTCACCCAGCAGCCTCCTGGGAGAGGGAGAGAAAGAGAAAGATGGTGGTGCAGCTTTTAAAGCCTGTGAAGGCTCCACCCACCAAGGCTGGGCCAATCAGTGTCTTGGACTCTGACCAACCAGATAGGTTCTCCTCCTTTGAGGCTGAGTAGGGGAGTGAGAGAAGCCTTGAGCTCCCCCTTCAGGCCAATACCAGTGGTGAACAGGTGTTTCTTTTTAGGCAGATTTGAGACACTCATTTCTCAACTTTAAGGTGAATTCTCAAAGGCCAGGGAAGTGTTTTATGGCACAGAGCACTGGGACTATTTCCAGGAACCAGATGTATTTCTGCATCTCATTGCCTAAGAAAGGAAACATGGCTGGTTAAGCCCAACGGGGAGCCTTTAGTTTCCTTTTTTGATTTCCAAAAAATTGTTACTAGGGTAGCACCTCAATGCTCGAGCAGGACAAGGGGGTCCTGGGGTCCTTCTGCATCCTGGGAGCCCTGCAGGGTCCCACAGCCAGAGCAGAGCTGACTCAGCCTCTAAAACTTGGCAGTTCAGAGCTGTGCAAGGGCCAACACTTCATCTGCCTGACCGCAGAGGCTTGGAATGTCATGAAAGAAACCTTGTAGCTCATTAAGAAGATGCAGGCCAGCAAGAGCCTTCAGGGATGGACAGGATTTTAGGCAGGCTTACTGAGACAGAGTTTTCATGCAGCAAAATTCACTTTCTTTACATATAGTAAAATTCACCGCACTTGATATATAGCACATTCCACTCACCCCATAAAAGTTCCCACATGCTGTCCCTTTGTTGTCAATCCCCTTTCCACCCCCAGTCCTTCTTAACCACTGATCTGTTTTCTGTCCCCATAGTTTTGCTTTTTCTAGGATGTCATTTAAGTGGAATCATATAGCGTGTAGCCTTTGATTTAAACAGAATCCAACAGCATGTGTTTGACAGCTTTATCTTACCCAAATTCTTCTGAGATTCATGAATGTTACCTGTATCAGTAGTTCATTCCTTCTTACTGCTGAGAAGTATTCCATTGTGTGGACGTACCACACTTCGTTTATCCGTTCACACGTTGAATGTTGAATACTTGGTTGGTTCCAGACTTTGGCTATTATAAGTAAAGTAGCTGTAAACTTTCAGGTTTTTCTGTGGATAGATGTATTCCTTTCACACCTAGGAGTGGGACTACTGGGTCATATATTATAAGGGTATGTTTATAAGAAACTGCCACACAGTTTTCCAAAGAGGTGCTACCACTTTGCATTCTCTCCCCAGCATTGTAGGAGAGTTCCAATAGTGTTCTCTCCACATCAGCACTTGGTATTGTCAGTATCAATTTTCTAAAATTTTAGCCATTCTGGAAGATATAAGGATTATTTTTAAATTTTGTAAATAACAGTTTCCTAAGGAGAAATGCTCATCATTTTAATAGCACATAAAATAATTTCTACTTATTCTGTCAATTTATTTGCTCACTTGTTCATTTCCTGTCTCTATTAGAATGTTTTTAAAAGGCACCTGCATCAATAAATAAATGTGAATGGATGAATGAATGAATGAGTGAATGAATTAGGAGACGGGTAGCATATAGCAAAGGCTGGAACATCAGATCAGCCCTGGGTTGGAACCTAGGGCCCATGATTTTAACTTTTCTCTTTCACAGAGAAGGCAGCTTTCAGGCTGGGATGGGAAAGAGAAGAAGGAACTTTTTGGTTAGAGTAGCTCTTGAAGGAGAAAGACATCATGCAGAGCCAGAGAGTCATGAAGGGCATGGCATATTTGGGAGTATAAGCAAGTCCTGTGTACTGAAAACATAGTGTGTGTTTGGGGTCATAGTTGGGATCACATGGGGGATCTAGTAATAATAATGCAAAAGCTTATACTCCTTACTGTGTGCCAGGCTGTTCTAAGATCTCTACATAGGTTAATTCATTTATTCTTCCCAATGGTCGTATAGCTTATATCATTCTCTCCATCATACAGACAAGGAAAATGAAGCACAAAGAAATTAAATAACTTGCCCCAAATTATGCATCAAAGAAGAGCCCAGGCAGTTTGGACCTTTAACTACTGCACTACATTGCCAGGTTAGGAAGGGCATGTTAGTTAGTTAAGGAATGGTGTAAGCTGCTGTAACAAATAGCCCCCAAATATAGTGACTTGAACAAGACAGAAGGTAGGTTTTCTCTCAGATGTCTGTCCAAAAGTACTAAGTCCAGGGCTGGTGGGTGCAAGTTTGGGTCCAAGGTGATCACTTCCACTTCTCACCATCTTCCAGACAATGGGAAGGGAAAAAAGGGCCCTGGAGGCTGTACACCTTCCTTTTAAAGGAATGACTGAAACACGTACATCCCATTGGCCAGAACTCAATCACATGGACAAACCAAGCTGCAAGGGAGAATGGGAGATGTGGTCTATAGTTGGGCAGCCACGGCCTCTGCTAAGACTCAAGGGTTCTGTTATTGAAAGGAAGAATGGGTATTGGTGGAAAACCGGCAGTCTCTGCCACAACCTGTAGACTATTCATTGGACTTTGAACTCTGTCCCGTAGATGATGAGGTCCTATTGGGGAGGTTTCATGCCCAGACTTGGGTTTTAGATCATCCAGAAGTTGCTTGGCTGATAAAGGAGAGAGAAGTAGGAGCAAGGCGACCTGTTTACCTGATCTGTCTGGTGTTTTGTTTGCCATCTGGGGAGTCCTTGCTGCAGATAGGAGTCAGTAGGTTGGGTTCCCAGATGGAGGACTTGCAGGCACAGTGAGTGTGCTGGGGCAGGATGGGAGCCACCAGCTGTCTTAGGCATTCATTCATTCAGTGGTTACTTATCAAGCACCATGTTTGGGCACAGAGCTCCAGTGATGGTCCCAACAAGTATGATGAATGCTGGGGGCCAAGTTCAGTTCTCTAGGAGTTCTCCAGTGATGCACAGTGCAGTGTGAAACCGGGGCATGCCACACTGATGCCAACCTCTTTTGTTTGTTTCTTTTGACCTTAGGACCCCCGGAGCAAACACAAGTTCAAGATCCACACGTACTCCAGCCCCACGTTTTGTGACCACTGTGGGTCGCTGCTGTATGGACTCATCCACCAGGGGATGAAATGTGACAGTAAGTACATTTGCTCTCTGGCAGCCTCTGCTGACTGGGCTGCTTCCTCATGGTCTACAAAACATTCTCCCAAGTCCTGGGTGGGCTGGGTACCACTTGTTTGTTGCTGAGTAACAATAACCATTTATATAGCTCATGATTCTGCAAGGCTGTCCTTTAGGTCTGGGCTGGGCTTACTCACACCTATGTGGTGGGTTAGCAGGTTGGTGAGGGGCTGTCTGGGCCTGGAGGGCCTCACCCACCTGTCCGCAAGGATGGCTGGCTGTCACCTGGGTGATGGGAATGACGGGGGTTGGGGGACCACATGTCTTTCGTCCTTCCGTCCTGAGCAGGCTATCCTGGGCTTGCTCACACGGAGGTGCCAAGTGCTTTAAGAGGGCAAGTCCCACTGATCAAAGCGAGTCACATGGCAAGGTTCACAGTCTGTGTGGGAGGGGACAGTCCACAGGTGTGGACACAGGGAGGCGTGGTCAAATCGGGGCCATTCCTGCAGCCACGCACACAGCTGTTGCCAGCACCAATATGCGGGGCTGATGCCTTTCTCTGCAGAGAGAAAATCTGCCTCCCTTTAGCACCTACAGTTTATGCTAGAAGGCGGGCAGGCGTGTGATTCTCTGACCAGGCTGGGGTGGGAAGAGGCAGGAGGGGGCAAGACTTCTCTTTATTAAGTGAAGGACTGAATGGCCCGAGGGGTGGGGGAGCCAGCAGGCTTTGAGAGCTGCAACTGCAAAGGGGACGGGGTGGAGATAGGGGGCTCAGTGCTGGTGGCTCCCAGAGGCCTGTTGACCCCAGCATGTTGAGCAGTCATGAGGCCAGACTGTCCCTGTCACAGGGGTCCTGAGGCCCAGAGGACACAGAGAGAAACTCTCAGGGGCAGAGAGTGACAGAGAGGAGTATGGGTGTGGATGGGGAGGAAGGGGGCAAGAGACAGAGAGAAACACACAATCACAGACAGGGACGGATTCAGGGGGCAGATGAAACGTGCGCCCAGGTGTAGGGAGCGATGGGTGAGGCTACAAAGAGGCCCAGCTAGAGAGAGACTCAAGCAGGAGGGACAGGCAGACGAACCAACAGACACAATGATTGGAAGTGACACAGAGAGAGATGCCCTCAGTCAGGCTCCTGCAGAGATACCGAGATGGAGAGAGAGCAGAGACAGGCAGAAACACACACATGGAGAGACACAGAAAGAGATGGAGACAAAGAGGTGTGACACAGGCCCAGAGCATGAAACAGACCTATTCACAGATGCAGCCGAGGCAGCGAGAGACACATGCTGAAGCAGAGGAGCAGAGACCCAGGAAAGAGACGTACACCGATATGGGTACCGAGAGGCAGACAGAAACAAACAGGGCAAGAGCCACAGAGACACGCGTGGTGAATGGGGGCTCCCAGGCAGACACATAACAGAGGCGGGGAGAGAGCGGTGCAGCTGCCTTCTGCTTGTGGGACACTGATTCCTCTTAGCGCACGTGGGGCCCCAGGTGGGCCTCAAGGACAGAGAGGGGTGGGTGGGAGGCAGCTCGGGCTGACGCAGAGCCCTGAACGTGGGCACTCAGGTTCCAGGGGGCTCTCCCTTCCTCCCCACCATCCTTCTCTCCCCACGATTCATTTCCTGCCTCCTGGAGCTTGGGCGGGCTGAGAAGGGGTGTCCTCAGCACCCCCTGCCCCTGGGGATGCCGTGCCCCCAGTTCCCCGGGGAATCTCCTGAAATGCAGGCCCCATGGGGTGATCTAGCCTCTCCTCCTGGCTTCTCAAACTGGAACGAGGGTCCCCTAGAGAACACTGGACTCCAGGCACACCTCCCTGGAGCAGCCGTGGGACTTAGGGGAAACCAACCACCCACTGAAAGAAGCACAGATGTACTACAGGAGTGTGGGAAGGGAGCCTGTATTTATCGTATCACACAAGAGACATGAAGGTCCGATTCAGTTCGCAGACCTATTCCATTCGTCTTACCCTGCGTCTAATTCTTTTTCTTGCAGTTAGTTTTGGTGGATACTGTGCGGGCTTTGCTCAGGTCCCAAGATGATGCCCCTCCCAGGGGATGGTTCCTGGCAGGTGCAGGGGTGCAGAGGCCTGGTCCTCTTGTATCAGTTTGGGACAACTCTGAAGGGTCACTGGAGGTCCAGAGCTCCCTTTACTGTCAGCCTCAGTGCATCCTCGTGGGCGAGCTCCTCCCTCCCAGGAGCCCTTGCGGTAAACCTGCTGGCTCACAACTCCCATTCCCAGACTCTTTCCACGGAAACCCACCTATGGGCCGTCAATATTTAAAAATCGGGAGATGTCACATACAAGTCAGGATTCCTGCTTAATCTTGAAAAATGGGGCGATCTCAGCAATTTGGGGCATGCACCCTGCATGGCTGCTCCTGAGTGCGGACACTGCGCTCCCTGGCCGGTCAGGTCCTGCCACACCCGCAGCGTCTCTCACTGCGTTACCTGCTGCCCGTGCCACCGAGCTTGGTGCCTCTGGCTTCAGAGCCGTCGGGGGTGTGCGAGGTGCCTCAGCCTTTCGGGAGGACGGACATGTTCCTCCTCCTTTGTCCGTCAGGGCCTGGGGTGGGGGGCGGGAGGCGGGGGAGAGTTGGAGAAGCCCTTCTGATGAGACCCGGGCAGGGCGGGCACGGCCGGCTGGTCTCCGCCAGCTTCGGAGGGAAGGAGGGGAACAGGAGGGGTCCAGCCTGGACCAGCCTGAGCCGCGCACCCTCCCTCTGTCCCCGCAGCCTGCATGATGAACGTCCACAAGCGCTGCGTGATGAACGTCCCCAGCCTCTGTGGCACAGACCACACGGAGCGCCGCGGCCGCATCTACATCCAGGCCCACATCGAGAGGGAGGTCCTTATCGTTGTCGGTAGGTGGCGCTGGGCTCCCGCTCCGGTTCCGCTAGGTTCGGACCTGGCTGGACCGCTGAGTTAGGGGAGGGGAGGTTGGTGGAGGGATGGGCGGTGCAGGGGCGGGGCGAGAGGTGCGGTGACACACTGCCTTCCTCCCCTCTCCCCCCGCCGCCGGCCCCCATTACAGCCCATCCCCGCTGTAGGCATCCTTAGAGACTGCATCCCCGCAGGGTGAAGCTCTCGGCACCTCTGGTACGCTGGAGCTTAGAGCTGGGACACCAGCAGTACATTACTTTTCTCCAAGACCTCAAAGGAGCCAGTAGAGCAGACAAAATGCTGAACACCTTAATTTTATGGCACTGTACGTCCCTGGGGGCTTTCCATGTATTTGAAGTCTTTCTTTCTTAAACCTGACGGCGGCCTCACTGGTCCCTGTTCTGTTATTCTCGCTATTTTTCGCACTTCTGAAATACTTCATAGTAATAAGAAAGAGGGATAATACAGCCTCTTATGAGAAGTGCAGCATGGTGTCTGTCCCTCCTAATGGAGCATTCACAAAATGCTTGGCTCTGACATGGGCAGCGCAAACAAAATGGAAATCTGTCTGTGCTGGATGGGTAACTGCTCAGCCATAAAGCTATGGTAAATGCGGCAATGAACTGGACCAGAATGGGACTAAAACTTTGTTTTTTTAAATTTATCTTATCTTATTATTATTATTTTATTTTTTATATATTTTTTGGCCACGCCGTGCGGCATGTGGAATCCTAGTTCCCTGACCAGGGACCAAACCCTCACCCCCTGCATTGGAAGCACGGAGTCTCAATCACTGGACCGCCAGGGAAGTCCCCAGAATGGGACTAGAACTTTGAAGGAATTCTCCCCCAGAGGCTTGTGTCAAACTTCTTAGAATTTACAATTTGTTAATTTAAACAAGGTTTTTTGACTTGATATCTTAGGAAATTGATCATAGAAGGGATTGATTTTGCAAAAATTGGTCTGAGGCCCTGGAATGGTTCAGCAGCTCTGAAGCACTGAGCCTACACCACATAAAAGTTGAAAGATAGCCCTGTAAAATATAATCCCTGTTTTAAACTGAGGTTCATGACACCCAGTGGGCTCTTATGGAACGTGTATTCCGTTGAATTGTTTTTTCCTCTGAAAGGAAGGCAATGGCTGACATGACTTCTTCCCAGTGAAATGCTTGAGGGTCCCCCAAGGAGGAAAAGCCTCACGAAAAGCTGGTTTCCCCACTGTGTAAGCTTCCTGGGCTGGAGGGGCAAAAATGAGACCCTGCTGCTCTCTACTGTTATTCTCTAGGAACTACACTGGCTCAGATGTTACTAGGGCCAGCCAACCTTCAAGGAACCCATTGAATGCACAGCGCTCAAAACCAAACCACAGCATAATGCTCTCAAGGTCCATCCATTGTTCCCACCACAAAAAAGAAATAATTATTTGAGGTGAGAGAGGTGTTAGCTAATGCCAGGGATGTAATCATATTGTAATATACAAATGTATCAAATCAACACATCCGTACACCTTAAAGTTACACAGTGTTATATGTCAATGATATTTCAATTAAATAGAAAAGACTTACATGTTATCTCTTTCAATGCTCAAAACAGCCTTGTGAAATATCTATTATACTTGTTTTATGAATGAAGATACTGAGGCTCAGAGAAGTTGTGCTTCTGAGAGCTCACACCATTTGTAATCGTCATCATCACCCAGTTAGCTACATCAAAAGTAGCTAACATTTGAGTTTTTAAGTGTGTTAATCGCTCTGCAAAGCACTTTTGGCAATATCGTGTTTAAAAATTTTCAGTAACTCTAGTGAGCTAAGTAGTAGTATCGTTCTATCAGAAAACAGGCTTAGAGAGTCACACACGACATCACCTAGGTCTGTTCACTCTTGTGATATACTAGGTTACTTTTTGGTTTAGTTCCCTGCACTAACTCTCCCCCCATACCTTATTTATTCCCTCTGTGGTTTAGCTGCATTACCTCCTATGTGTGTTTCTTGGGCACTTTGTTTCACGTGGTACAATACAACGTCTCTTCCAATTCGAGGTCAACGTCTTCCCCCTCAATCACAGATACACTGTCTTATATCTTGATCACAAGCTGATGGTTTTCAGGCAATCCCAGTGAGGGTGTGGTATATTTGTTTCCTAGAGCGACTGTAACAAAGTACCACAAACTGGGTGGCTTCAAACAATAGATATTTATTCAGTCACAGTTCTGGAGGCTGGAGGCTAGAAGTCTGAAATCAAAGTGCCGGCAAGGTTGGTTCCTTCAGGAGGGCTCTGAGGGAAAGTCAGTCTTTGGGGCTCTTTGGCCTGTAGCTGCATCCCTCCAATCTCTGCTTCCATCATCACGTGGCATTCTTCCCTGTGTGTCTCGGCGTCCAAATTTCCTCTTCTTCTAAGGACTCCAGGCGTTGGATTAGGGCCACCCTAATCTGGTGTGACCTCATCTTGACTTGGTTACATCTGCAAAGACCTTATCTCCAAACAAGGTCACATTCATCTGTATTGGGATTAGGACTTGAACACATGTTTTAGGGGATACAATTCAACCCATAGCAAGGGGAAGGAGGAATAGTTAGGACCCCCTTAAAGTTAAGGGCAGAATATCTGCATGTTCAGGGTTCTGCTAGCACTAGCTGAATAGCTACCAATATACTAAGAGCACTTTGTGGTTTTCCAAGTGCTTTGGTACTGGCTCATCCAATGGAGATAGTGGTGTTGCCAACATACAGAAGGGGAAACTAAGACTCGGTGAGGTTGGACAACTTGCCTGATGTCTCGTGCAGAGCAGGATGAGCCCCTGGGCCTCCTGTCTGCAGGTCACTGTGCCCTGCTATTGCCTCCTCACCGTTCCAGGCACGGTCAGTACCTGGTGTGGGATCGTTGATTGACCGATGATAGAAGAACCTGATGCTTTGACTGCAGTTCTCTAAACACAGAGCCGAGATGGAGATTTTTGTTCAAGTGATTTACTGGGGCTGCTCATAAGGTAAGGAGTGAGGATAGAGCAGGGAAAAGCTGAGTGAGAGTGTGGTCTCCATTGAAGACCAGCTATAGCTGGACCCCATGGAGTCCTGGACCACAGATTATAGCACAGGGTCAGTCCCTCCTCGAGGCAAGAGGGCTGTTCTGTTAGGGTCAGACACTGCTATGGGCTGAATTGTGTCCCCTTAAAATTCACACGTGGAAGCCCTAACCCAGTGAAATGGTGTTTGGGGATGGGGCCTTTGGGAGATAATTAGAGTTAGATGAAGGTGGGGTTCTTATTATGGGCTTGGCGGCTTTATGGCCACATGAGGGCACAGCAAGAAGGTGGCCACCTGCAAGCCAGGAAGAGGGCTCTCACCAGGAACCGAATTGGCCTGCACCTTGATATTGGACTTCCTGCCTCCAGAGCTGTGAGAAATAAACATCTGTTGTTTAAGTAACCCAGTCTGAGGTATTTTATTTCCGCAGCCTGGGCTGGCTAAGACGGTCAGTCTTTGCTCCAGGCTACTGGGATTGAAAGTGGGATGGTACCTCCCAGAATCCATGGCTTCTGTGAGACTGAGGGCAGCTATCTGGACATGGGGCAACTGTGAGCCATTAACAGCCAACACTCACGGTAGCCGGGAGCTGGGTGCCTTGGCCCGAGTGGAGGGGAGCTGGCAGGGTCTGGGTCTCCTGGGTATACTCTGATCTCCCAAGCATCCTTCTGGTTTCATTGTTGGGACTCCAGGCCCTCCTCCTTGACCTCAGCCAGACAGATCAGAGAGAAGAGAGCCCTTCCCAGCAGTGTGAGGCCAAATGTGACCTGTGGTGTTGAATTGCCCCACTTCATTCAGACCGTAGAGGCACGTCCAGTGTTGGTACTTGCCACTCAGCAGCCCAGGACTCCTGAATGCCACATGCTCTTTGAAATCCCACCATCTCCAGAGGCACCAGGCTACAGGTGCCTCTGAAAGATCTGAAGGTTTCCTCATCTCTGGCTCATGAAATCCTGGCTTTATATCTGCTGTCAGGGGTCTTGCAGGTCAAACTCAGACGGGAAATCCAATCAGTTCTCTTTCTTTAAAAAGCTCATCACTGGTTTCTCATTGCCCTTAGGACAGACTAACTGTGACGTGGTAATCTCATTATCTATTCTCTGCCTCCTTGCTTTTCTTTAATCCTTCATCCCCTCCAGGCTGCCACCCACCATAGGACATCTGCATACTCTCTTCCCTCCATCTGGAGTGTTTGCCCTTTTGTCTTCTTTCAGCAGTTTACTCTTCCTCTTCCTGTAGGTCTCAGCTCATTCTTACAATCAAGGAAGCTTCCCTGGACCTCCCTTTATTGCAGACATTCGTGGTGTCCTGAACTTGAACTTGTGTCAGTTGTGGTTTTATGTTGGGCTGATTAGTGTCTGCATCTCCCTCTGGGCTTTAAGCTCGGTGAGGGCAGGGCAGTGTCTGTCTTGACTCACCACTGTATCCCAGCACCTAGTGTGATGACATCACTAAATATTTGTGGAATCAGTGGATATATGTGTGAAGGAGATACCACTAGAGGATCCTGATGGATACCAGAACTCACAGATGATCCCCAAATCAGTGCCTTCCACAGTGAGGAGCTAAATTTCAGCAGATAATCCAATTCACACCATCATCCTTAAAGAAGGAGACCATGCAGAAAATCCGAAGGACCAGGTCCAAGGTCAACAGCAGGTATTACTGGGACTGGGACTCACCCTTTGGAGCCATAACTACCCTCATTCCCTGGATAATGTAGAAAAGACACAGAACAGTGGGACTTGTAGAATCATAGGAAATCATGTGGACATCATGATGCCCTGTGTTACCATGGATGGGAGGCAGTACAATCAGAAGCCCTGATCAAAGTTGTAAAATGCTCCTGGAGGTTATGAAGCCCATGTCCTTGTATATAAAATACCCCTTTTCAATTCAGTATCTCCCTATTAACATAGCAACTAATATCCCATTATTAACATTTCCATCTACATTGCA